CTCAGGGTGACGCCTGATATGCCCTTGATTACTTGGGGACAAGTTGGGGGGAGGAGTAGCCAATGTTCACCTCGCCCCCATCCCCCATCCGGGGTTTCTGGGCGCCCTCCATTGTGGAATTGCCTCCTACGCTTTACACCAAGTCTCTTTGAGAGACCAAAAAAAAAAAAAAATCCTCAAGATAAGGGGGGAGAAGTTTCCAGAAATCCTGGAGGGTGGCCTGGACCTTGGCCAGGTGGAGGCAGCGGCCCTGCCCTTGGCAGCCTCGCCTTTCTCCCTGGGATGAGGACGACCCAGGTGAGGCATTCTTGTAGGGGAAGAATAGTGGCTCTGGGGAATGGAGGCCGGGCCCCAAGATGGGAACTGAGTCTGCTGCCTACTCAAAAGGGAAACTTCGCAGGCCCTCTGCCTGGCCTCGCTACCCCCTGGAGAAGACTGGGATGGTTCTACCAACCCAAACAGCAGATTAGGCCGGTAACAGCTGTTTGCACCAAGCCTGTGCTGGCACCTGGCATCCCCACAGGCTCCTCATCCACCCCATCTCTGCAGACAGATGTGTGTGGTTCCCCGCTAGGTGCCCCACAACCAGGACCAAGACAGGGCCTCCAGAGGAGGTAAGGAGAACCTTTGGCTGGGGTTTGGGGACACTGACTACCCAGAAAGTGGATGTAGGTGGGATGGCCCCAAGTGGAGGCTTGTCAGAGCAGGAGGGACCTGCCAGCAGCTGGATTCTCAAAGCAGGGTGAGGAAGGAGGGTGCGTTACCCCAACAGAGGGAGTGGGCCCCTGCCCAGGCGTCTGTCCACAAGGTCACAAAAAGCCCAAAGATCTGTGTGTCACCAACTGATCATTGTAAATAAAGTGGATTTGCTTTTTCAGCCTTGTCATCATTCCTGTGTTGTGCTGGATGCCAGCCCTGGGCCGGGGGCTGGGGGGGGGGGGGTGAAAAGATTCTCATCAGAAGCCTAAAGGAAAGGAAGGACCCCAGAAAGAGGCCCCTTTAGCAGCTGGAACCAACTCTCAGGGTCGGGGAGGTAGGAGGGCTATGCCAGGAAGCTGTTCCCTGGATGTCAGGGAATGAGACGGTAGCAGGTGCCTCGTCTGCAGATCACATGTGTCAGGCCCTGGAGGGGTGCCCACTGTCTGTTTCAGCCTCAGCCTCCCAGAGTGTGTCTCCTCCTGGTGCTCAGATGCAAGTGTCTCTGGACATTCGGCAGGAAGAGAGCACTGGGCAGGGGGCTTCTGGTCAGCTATGTGTCTTTGAGAAGATTCCTGTGTCTATCAAAACGTGTTATTTACACTGTCTCCTCGGGGCTGAGAAAGGAGGCAGACTAAAGGGGCGGGGGGCGGGGGGCTGGCTGGCATGGCTCAGTGGTGTACCTGTGCACCAGAGTCTCGGGTTCGATTCCCAGTCAAGGGCTTGTACCAGGTGGCAGGTTTGATCCCCAGCCCTGGGGGAGGCCACCAATCGATGTGTCTCTTTCACATCTCTCATCTTCCTCCTCTCTCTCTCTCTCTCTCTCTCTCTCTCTCTCTCATCCTCTCTGTCTCTCTCTCTCTCTCATCCTCCCCCACCCACTTCCACGCTCTCTAAAAATCAATGGAAAAATATACTGAGGTGAGGATTAACAACAACAAAAATAGGAAAGGGTGGGCAACCCAATTTTTTTTTTCAGAGGAGCTGGAGAAATCTGTCCAGACCTTTGTGGCCGTGCGCGCCTTGAGCTGGGATGATAGCTTCTTTAGTTCGTGCTGATCTGGGCACTGATCCCAGAGTTATCCAGAGCCCAGACGAGTGGCCTCTGCAATCGCCAGTGAGCATGATTGTTCTGTTTCCTGGAGCTGCGGGAACAGAGGGTGCCACTGCCACTTCGCCCTGGGGATCCCAGGCGTGGCCAGGGCACTTTGAAGGGGACAGCTGGGGTTGGCTCCACATGTTCGGGGCCGGGAGGGAGGACAAGGATGCCCTGCCTGGCCGGTGCTTCCCTCTTATGTCGCGACAGGAGGTTTGCTGGTGTTTCTCCACGTTGGCAGCAGGAGAAAAGGAAGTAGGAGGTGTCAGACCTGCGAGAGGAGGATGGGCTGTGGGCAAGGCAGCCTCTGGGGTGTGAGGCCTCCTCACCCAGAAACAGGTCACGAGCATGCCCTCTTCAATCAGGTTCGTGCCGCAGATATTTACTAGGCGCCGGCCTTGGGACAGGCGCCGAACTAGGCTCTGGAGTCCAGGGGTCCCTCCCTTGTGGCTCCTACAGTCTCATGTGAGATGCACATGATTAAAGGAGCAGTTGCTATGTAATCATTCACAGACATGTGCTCAGCCTCAGTGCCTGTTCCCCACTTTTCTCTGGCAGCTTCCCAAAGCATAGACACACACACACACACACACACACACACACACACACAGCCACCTCCTTCCTTCTCTTGCTCACCCTCTGCTCTGTAGACCCAGAGTTAGAAGGCCCAGGTGAGAGGACTGTCTCTGTTTCCTTACCTCCTGGGTGACATTGAGCAACTCATGCAGCCTCTCTGAGCCTCAGCCTTATCAGTGGTAAAATGGGGAGACTACCTACCTTGCAGGCTGACTGTCAGAATGAAATAGAATCGCGTCTTTGAAAATGCTTTGGTAAATAATAAAATGCCCAGCACATGTGGAGAACAACCATTTTACCCAGAGGGCCCTTCTCTGTAAAGGAGATTTCATTGTGCCTTCCCCCAACTCCCCTCTCCCTGGCAGCAGTGGACCTGGGATGAATGATGGATAAGCCACCAGTGAACCAATACAGTGCCAACTGCCACCAGGCCGCAGGGTGGGGTGTTTGGTGCTTCAGCCCCAGGCCCCAGGCGTCATTGCTACCAAGAGGGGGAGACAAAACCTGGGAAACCAGGCCCACTGCCATCTTCCCTGATCTTAGACCAAAATGGAGAAGAGCCTGCACCACTGGTCAAGCGGTCTGGTGCCCCTTCGTCTCTTCTCCTGGCTTCAGCTTCCCCACCTGTAAAATGAAGATTGGGAGGCGGTGGACAATGGTTTTCAAATCCGAGTCCTAGATTTCCCAGGGGCGCCCTTGGAGCTGCTGTGGGACCCACGGGAGATGGAGTGGGGAGTCCCCCAACCTGCTCGAACTGGAGCAGCCTCTCTGTTTTCTCCTTGGGGTTCCTGTGATTCTCTTTGAATAATGGAATCCTGTAGATATTTCTTTTTAAGTTCAAATCACTGAGTGACATGCTCTCTAAACTTCCCTTCCAGCCCCGATGCCATATGTGTCTAAGGGCTGATAGGCCTGGATGTAATGTTGGAGGGTGTACAGGTGGCAATGGAGGGCTTGCCGAGAACAGGCAGCCCAGGGCAACGTGGGAAGTGTGACCCCGGCTAGGCCAGCCACTTGGGGTCAAGACTCTTCCCGGGACCTCTGGGGCCTGATTTCCAGCTCTCTCCAACCGACTCCAGGGGGCTAGGCTGTGACTGATGTGATTTATGCCACAGCACACAGCTCACAGCTCACAGATCAGTGGGCCGGCCCACCCACCAGTGCCATCCTGACCGCTGCTTCTCTTCCACGCGTGGACCTGTCCCCATTCCCCAGACAGAGCCATGTGTTCCCACCGATAGGCTTGTGCCCATGCTGTTCTCGTGACCTGGAACGTCCTTCCCTCAGGCTATGCATTTTCAATCCTACCTCTCTTCAAGCCCCAGCTCCTAGAGTGGGGTTCCAGCATGCAGCAGGAATAGAGGGGACACCTCTATTGAATCTTTCCTTAATGCACACCCCTCGTCCACTCCTGCCAAACCTGGGGGTGATTCCTCTCAAACTCACTCAGGACGTGGCCTGTGCTTCCTCGAGGTCCTCGTGTTACACCTGGGTTGACTGTTGCTGTGTAAGTGTCTTGTCTCTCACATGGATCCATCTTCATTTTCCCGTCCCCTCCGGTACCTTGACCACAGCAGGGCAGGGAGTCGGTGCTCAATGATGATAGTCTGTTGAATGAATACATGAATGAATGAGTCAGATGGAAGGGCCGTCATGAAACAGGGAAGTAAGTGGGTAGAGAAGCATTCCCTCTGCCAAGCTTCTGCCCTGAGATGCTGAAGAACTATCCTCAGACGCCCTGCTCAGACAGATGGCTATTCTTAGGGAGAAAATCGGCAGCCTAAGAGATGAGGCCAGGGTGGGAAACTGAGGCCTGTCTGTAGGATGGGCCTTCCCACTCCCTGAACTGGCTGACACTCAAAATACAGAGCAGCTCCTGGCGGCAGCCAACCACCCTCCAGATGTGCAGCTGGGCAGCGAAGGACCATCCAGACAGCTGCAGGCTCTAACACACAGGCGGTCCAACCTGGGCTTGGGCCTCAGCCAGACCTGGATGCTGGTCCCCGTTCTGCCACCTGATGGCCTTGATTTTCCCTCTGTAAAAACAGGGATAGGTGAGTCTAGACCTTATTCAGTTATTGGGAGAAAGAAGTAAGGTGGTGTATTTGAGTAACTGATTTATAACAATGCTTGATGCACTCAATAAGTGATAGGTGCTACTGTTGTTTGTTATTATCATCTTACCTGGAGCTCCCCTAACTGACAACTCTGGGATGAGGAGGTCAGGTGCCTGGTCTCTGAGACACTAAATATGTTGCTTGTTCCTGCCCCGGGGTAGCTACATGCCCACAGTCCCATTCATCTCTAAATCATGGTAACAGATTCAACCACAGGTTGGCTTATTTCTGTCTCTAGTTGTTCAATGGGAACAAGATATAAACCTGATTGTCTTAACGCTAGATTCGACCCAATATCTTATGCTTTCTGTCTATCCTTTTCACCGTAGCACCCAGCACAATGTCAGGCACATAGTAAAGCACCTGGAGGCGGATGGACGAACGGATGGATGGATGGATGGATGAATGGATAGATGGATGGATGGATGAGTGAGTGAAAAGCCGCTGTTAGCTGCAGTGTTGGCAGGTAGCCTCCACAGCCAAGGTCTTCAGAAAGCAGGATGTCATTCCTTTGTAAGGATGAGTCAGCTTTCCCCTCGCCCCAGCCCTGTTTGCCCTTAGCTATAGGCTATGGGGAAGAGGAAGATGCTACTGGCGTAGGGACCAGCTGGTCCCCAGTAAAGGACAGCTGAAAAGGACGGAAGAGGCTAACATGCAAATCTGGCCAGTCTCTGAGCCAGAACTGTCCTCTCTCTCCCTTTGCCCCGCTGCCTGCCTGTCCATGAGGCACACATGGGTTTGTTGACTGATCCGGAATGACTGAGTTTAATCACCGCTCGAAAGTGGGAAGGATGTTGGGCAGGCAAGGAGTTAAAGGGAAGCTGGAGCTCAGGCCATCCTAAAGGAGACCGCCGCTGGGAAGACTGGGCCAGTACTGCTGCACGCTGGAACCCTTGACAAGAGGCTAGGGGAGTTGCTGTGCTGGGATGCTCAGGTAGACCTTGTTTTTGCCTGCCTAGTACCCATCCCTCCCCCACTTCAGGGTAGAGATTGCCTCCTCTTCCTCCTGGCACAGATCTAAACTCTCCCGTTCCCCCCTGCACTGAGGTGTGGTCACGTGACTGTCACTGCCAGGCCTGGACTGTGCAAAACATAACTTCTGCTTTATCCTCCTGCCTGCCTGCTAGATGTCCTTCATGTTGAAGATGACAACAGCCTCCACTAGCCTGGGTCGCTGAATGGCCACATGAAGTTGAGCCCCACCCCTGCCACCAATGGGAGCAAGAAATAAAATGTGATTGTGCTGGCCACTGACAGGGTTGCTTGTAGCAGCACAGAGCTCACCTTGACCAACACACTCTTCTTCTGACCCACTGCCCTGATGCCCCTGGTGAAACCACAGTTGCCCACTCTTGGTTCCTGGGGTTCTAGCAGAGATGACCTTACACACATGGGCTCCAGGGGAGGACATGTGATCCAGGCCTGAGCAATCAGAATATCCCACCTCCTCAGCCCCAGAGATCGGCTCCGGGACGAGCGTGTGGCATGACCAGAACCAACGGAACTGAATTCTGGGACGTCGTTGAAACTGTTGGGAAGGGAGACACTCACTTTCTGCTGGAGCTGCTGGGAGGGGGGAGTATGCCTGGTGTCACCGGCAGCTATCTTGCCCCCATGAGGAAAGGGGGCCTGCACCGTAGACAGCAGAGCAGGACATGGAGAGCAAGACAGAGTTCCATGACATTGCTTGAGCCCCTGACTCCCAACAAGCCTGCCCAGATCTGTGCCTGGAGTTTTCAGTTCACTGAGCCAATACGTTGTGCTTTTAGCTTAAGTCAGTTGGGCTTCCTGTCCATTGAATCTGAGAAAGCCCTGGCCCTGCTGTCACTGTTCTCATCAGGTCACCAGCTCTGGACAAGGGAGGAGGGGTCATTGAAAAAGCTTCGGGGTCTGTTACAGGGCCTGGCAGAGGGCCATCCTTATTGGCACTAAGACAAGAAAGCTGGAGGCAGGCGGCTCAGTAAGATCCAGCTCTAAGGCTCCATTTAGAGCAGTGGTTCTCAACCTGTGGGTCGCGACCCCCTTGGGGGTCGAACAACCCTTTCACAGGGGTTGCCTGAGACCACCCTGCATATCAGATATTTACATTATGATTCATAACAGTAGCAACATTACAGTTATGAAGTAGCAATGAAAATAATTTCATGGTTGGGTCACCACTTGAGGAACTGTATTTAAAGGTCCAGAAGGTTGAGAACCACTGATTTAGAGGAAGAAGCCCACTGCCCGGAAATGAGCACAGACAGCAGTGAGGGAGGTTTTAAATAGACATCTGCGGGGATTTCCTGGAGGGGAGGATGACCTGACCAGGAAACAGCTTGTGGAGCTCAAACAATAAGCCCCCTCCCCCCCCTTTCCCCCCCCACACACATACCCCTGCCCCAGGGTGGACCTGAGGGCTGAGTGGCGCATCCATGTCTGCAGTCAGAGACCTGGCCAGGGAGGCCCCCGGAGACTCTTGTAGCCGAGTGGCCTCTGCAGCTCTAACGCAGGACGGGGGAAGAGCTGCCTGGAGGACCTGCTTCCCGTGTGGGAATCACGTTTGTGATGTCGTATGTCACAGGCCCTAGACAGCTCCCCCGCGTCTCCGGCCACCGAAGCTGGCCTCAGAGGGGATCACTGGCAGCCTCTGAAACAGGGGAGAGGGTCAGTCCAATACGATCACAGTGGACACTCACTCACACAGTCCCCAGAGGGCAGAAGACTCAGGGTTTGCTTTACATCAACCCCTCTGCCCACTGATACGCAGGCCTGGACACAGGGCAGGCCCTGGACCTCCGGTCCTTAGGGGAAGCACGCACACACGGGGCTGGCTTACGAGGGGGCTGAGCATTGCCCACGGAGCAGGGCCTGCTGTCCGTGACAGGACATGTCTGCGAG